ACGTACTATTTTCTTCTTTTTTTCTATTCTAATTTAATATCTTTTAATTCTTAGATTTCATTGTTCAAACAAATTTTTTTCTTTTTAATTTCATTCAGTTTTCAGAAATAATTTTATTTATTTTCATTTTGATTTATTTTGGAGCGACTTTATGTCATCCCTTATCAAGTTTGGTTTGGAGAGAAACCAGTTGCGGCATTGTGCCATCTTCGGTGTAATTTTTCTCACAGGACATTAACATTTTCTTTTGTTGTGCTCTGTCCCGGCAAACGTGCAACATTTTCTCCTCTTTGTTAATGAGTAAGTGTGAATATTGCCCAACAGATTTTGATTCATATTTTGCAATAATTATTCTTCATAAATAATTTTTTTTTATGTAGTGGAAATGAGTTTTATAATTTCATTCGAACTAGTAAAACAAATTTAGAATAAGTTTGTGCAGTAAAGAATTTTCAAATTGGCATTTTTTTTTTGTTCTTTTTTCATATGCAGAATGCAAACATTTTACAAGGCGTAGGGGAACATTAACATAATGTTGCCATATACTGGGGCTACATTTTAATTGAGAAAAGAAAACGCTTTAAATCCTCTAATGCAATTTACCATTATAATACCACTGTAGTGCGCATCATGAAGCCTTCCTAGCACCAATATTTACAAACAAAATATATTATTACACCTGTGAATTTTTGTTGTGTTGCCACAGGTAACTGACCAGGCACTGAAGCGGCCAAAACAGAGAGCGTTAAGAGAGCGCAAGCTAGTGAGCGCAATGGGAAGCAGAAAATCAAAAAACTAGAATAAAAGTAAGCAAGGAAGTAGCAACGTAAATAACAACAACAACAACATTTAAATACTGCATCAAAGCGGAACTATAGTAAAGAATAAACTTATGAATGAGGGGAGTAGCTATGTAGCTCTGGGTTGCAACGCTCGCTCATGCAAACTTGTATCCATATGGAAGTGAATTGCCTGGCTGAGTACGCAGGTAAGCGAGTTTAAATGATTCAGTTCTAAATTGACATTCAACGGTGTGTGCGGCAAAAAATTGTATTAAGCGGAAAAGCGCGGAAAAATTGTTGACTAACTAAAAGGGGGAAAAAATTATAGAATGCAAACAGCTCTGCCTCATATTTTTTTGTAATATACATATGTATATGTATGTACGTATGTATGGAAGCATGCATGTGCACTGGTGTGTATACATGTGTGAGTGGCCAATGCTTGAAGTGAAATTTTTTGAAGTGTAATAAATGAAATGTTTGTTTAGGCAAGCTAATCGTCAAAGCGAGTTAGCAGTGCGAAAATTTGAAATTGTTAGGAAGAGCGCTAAAAATATGCAATGCGCTAGATTTAAGTTAAATTCTTTGTGAAAGTGAAAATTTCAATATTTTGAGCGATTTATAATTTACGTGTTAAATCCAAAAACAGAATAGCCAAAGTCTTGTGCCTTAAGAAAAACAAAGGGTGTAATAAAAAATAAAAATAAAATAAATAAAAAAGATCATGCCATTTGCTATGGTTTAAAAGGCAAGTATGTATTCCAAAAAATTAACTTACAATGTCTAACCAAAGAAAGAAAATGCGTTTAAAATGTTAAACTTGCATCAAAGTATTGCTGCATTCACCCCTACTTGCACTCCTGCCTGTCATCTATATATATCACCTATCATCTCAACACCATTTACGGAAAGTGACGTCAATTTCGAGCACCGAAAACCATTAAAAGTTCATCAATTATTTAACATTGGCGCATTAAGTGGCTGACCTATCGTCGCTCCTCTCTTCTGGCTAACCAACCGAAAATCATCACTCGCTGTCAACATGTTGGCCAAAAATGCGCTATTAACTGTGTTGGCTCTAAAGGCGCTGTGGATTGCCAGCTGCGTCGCGGATACTGGCCTGCCGCTCATACAAATAAGTCATGGTAGGTTGACTCAACTGAGTAAAAATTATATTTCTAGTAACAGTTATTATGATTTTTTATTTTTTTTTTGGAATAGAAAATGGACATTGTTAAAACATACATATGTAAATCTCAGTTTTTTTCTGATTTTCTCTCATTAAATAACGAAATATTTAGTAAAAGTGAAGTGTCCAAATTGTTTGTATAAAAATGTTCACACTTTGTTTTTTTTTATAGTGCGGTCGTCATTATTGAAACGGGCGAACGCCTGTATGTTGAAGGGCAAGTTTTTGTGTCCCAATTGACTTTTTGACAATTGAGCTTTGTGTCAAGTTGACCCCTGTCGTTCTGCGTGGCTGATTGAGACTTTGACGACGGCGCAAATGAAATCAAGTTTTGTTTTGTTCTAGTCATTGTTATTTAGTAACGAAAAGCATCAATTTTGTGGAATATTAAAATACATATAAGCATTGGGCGTAGAGATTCAAATTTGGCAAATAAATATATGTATGTATGTACCTATTTTGTACTATAAAAGAATTGAAATTTTCGGAATTACATATATGTACATTAGGGTGGTGCAAAATAAGTAATGTCGGAATTTAAATGCTCTCACCCTGTGGGATTGTTCTATATCGAAAAAATATACCCCTATATTTTGATTTTTAAATCAAAAAATATTTAGTGGTCGCTCTAAGCGCACAAAAATTTCCATATATTTTATATGGAGGAAAAAAAACTTTCCGTAGAGATGGTATAGCATTTTTGGAAATTAATATTTTTCAATTGGAAAAATCTCGTTTTCTTCAGGAGAATATCAATAGCAATACCCAATTGTTTATGTAACCATTTTTTAATACTAACGATTTTTTATTGGTGCCCCCATTGCACTTTTTGCGGTTTTCGGGGGACCTACAAATTATAGTTACTATGAAAAAATGGTTGTGAATCTCCTGAAGAGAACCATATTTTTTTTTTTTACCATTTCTACGAGGTGTTTTTTTCTCCATATAAAATACATGGAAAACTTTGATAGCTTCGGGCGACCTCTAAATATTTTTTGATTTCAAAATAAAAAAATAGGGGTATATTTTCGGTATAGAACAATTCTAGGGGGGAAGGGAGCATACAAATCCCGACTTTATTTTTCACATGTATTTTTGGACCACCATAATGTGAGTGTACATCCAGCAAATTTATATTTATAGGCGCGGAATCTTTGTTTTGTTTGCTTAATTTTATCAGCAAAACAAAATGCTGTGTTTTAATGGAAATTAAGTTTTAGTATAAATGCGGTTATATAAACACGTCGTTTGGATTAGTTACGACAAAAAATAGTAAGGCCAGTTTTCGGTGTGCGTATTAACCCTATTTGCTTTTTGATTGTATTGAAATCGACATGCCACTGTGGTGAAAACCCTATGACGCAAATAACTTTGAGGGATATCAATAGACTGATTTACCTTAGAAGAGTTCGTGTTACAACAAGATGCATTCCACTTTTTTACGACTGCGTATCGAAATTACAAAAATCTATGTAACGTGGAAATCCAAGTAGTCCACTAATAAAAGGCATCCTAAGAGTTTCCTTATAAATTCAACGTCTTCATAAATTTTTTTTTTTTAATTAGGTGCAAATGGAGGGAAATGTTTTTTTTACTGAAAAAACGAAAAAATTTTACCTAACAAATCGGAGATGCTCTATCTTTTAATGGAATTACCGACTTCCGGTTTCGACCGACAGATTCGGATTCTGAGAATAAAAAAGCTTATCTTTTGTTTGAAACCTTTTTTTCGGAAGTGCCCTTTTCAACCTCTAACTGACCTTCGAACTTCAACTTGTCTGAGACTTCTGAAATGAGGGAAAATTCATTTATTGGGAAACGGGAAAATAGGAATCACCAAAGTTGGTTTTACGCGATAGTACCGGCAAGGAGCAGCATCTCCCTTCAAATGGTTTTGAAAAAGTACGCTGAGGTTCCAAATTCTATATCAACTTTTTGTCAAGTTTTTATTATTATTTCATGCAGCGTTAGCGTTAGAAATAACTGATTTTTGCTCAGATGACAAACCAGTTTAAGCTTAAAAAATCTGCATAAAAGTATTTAAAAATCTTTTCAACGGAATCATAATAATGAGGCTTTTGTTGCTGTTTTCTAACTTTTTTCAAAGATTGGTTCAAGAAAAACTTGAATAACTGGGTAAAAACTATTACGATTTTTGACTTGTGAGATATCAGTGGAAAGGTATTTTCCTACTATTTTTATTACTGTGCAAAACAAAACTAATTCACTTCCTATTTTTTTTTTCAAATACCAATACATCTTAATTGAACTTGGAATGACGCCCGTTCATCCAACCATTCCTTTTCATATTTTGAATGAGTTTATATGCAAAGAAATAAAAATGGCGAGAAAACACCTTTCCAATGATACTACACAAGTCTAAACCGGAACAGTTTTGGTCTAGTTATTCAAGTTTCTCTTATACCAATATTTGAAATAGTTAAAATAAGCATCAAAAATCTCATTATTACGATTCCGTTGAACGTTTTTTTTTAAATATTTGTATGCAAAAAATTCTTTAATAAACTATTTTTACTTATAAAAAACTCTACTTTAGGAGATATTTTCAAATCGGTCCAGCTCTCGTAAATCTTAATATTTTTCCGAAATATTTTGGTGCAAGTTTTAAGTTATAATAGACTTTATAATTACAATGGAAACACAGTACCCATTTTTTTATGGTTAGTGATGCAGTCTAGTGTATTTACGACGTGTACGACGTTTTAGCACAATCACATGCTTTATAAACACATATGCCAGTTTATTTACTGGTCGCATGTTCAATCAACTTTCTTTTGATTTTCTTCTGACCTGACATGCGCTTAAGCATAAATAAATAAATAATTTTGTCAATTTAGATATGCAACTGCCGGCAAGTTGAAGAAGTGTTAATTTATCCACCATATGTTTTATATTTATATTTGGGGCAATCAATAATATTAACGATACAAAAACTAGAATTCTGTCAAAACTGGACAATATGTTCATTAGAAATGCAGGCTTATGTACATTAGGGTGTTCCCACCCTCTAGTATTGTTCTATACCGAAAAAAACATGCAACTGCTTCTATACTCAAGCGCACTTATGCACAAGGCAATATATCTTTGTTCACATAACTGTGGTTTGTAACATCCTCGGAATGAAAAGAGAAATCGGTTAAGTCGTGACTGTTTGTCAGCCGATCCGTCCGTTTGTGCACACGATAACTCTAGTAAAAATTGAGATATATTAACGAAACTTTGTTCGTGTATTTCTTCCCATATAACGGTAGCCATAAAAAATCGTTGGTATTAAAAATAGTAAAAAAAAAACAATTGGGTATTATTACGGCAAGTATCTTGAAGGAAACAGAGTTTTCCGATCGAAAAATATTGATTTTTCAGAATTGTATACTATTCCTACGAAAAATTGTTCTTTTTTTCGCCAAATAAAATACATGGAAAACTTTAAGTGACCTCTAAATATTTATTGATTTCTAAATAAAAATACAGGGGTATATTATTTCGATATAAAACAATCCTGGGGAGCATTAAAATTCGAACTTTACTTTTTCACACGCATTTTTGGACAAACCGAATGTACGTATTTATTAGAAAAGAACATATGTACATTACGTATTATCTATATACAAATATCTAACAAAAGGTTCGCAATAAAGAAGAAGAAAAAAAAATTTACAAATAACACATATTGTGCCCTAACCAACAAATTTTTTATTTCACTGGAGAAGCAAAAAACATTATAAAGTCAGTATCAAAAACAGGTTAAAACGTGTCATGTAACTACGTTGTTTTTGGAACTAATGTTGTTTACGCTGATTTCAACCATTCCAAAATTATTTGGTATAAATAAAAACCAAAGCCAATAAAAGAGGTCAACTTTTCTATTTCTTATTTGTTTAATATCTCGGAAACTACTTAACCGTTTAAAAAGTGATTGATGCTAATTTCAACATAATTTAAATACCTTTTATGCGACGGATATACTATAACCACTTTTAAAACTAATTTTATATAAACGACATTTAAAAAAAATATATTTATATTTTTTTGTGTTTCTTCGTATTATCGGACTAATGATATAAAAAAGCATATAAATTATATTCACACATGAAAGATAAATTAATTACTTTTATCTTGGCGTCATCAGGTTTTTAATAGGTTATGTTGTTTAGAAAATATTAATATTAAAAAAAAATCCAAAAACTTAAATTTAACCACATTTTTGGTTTTCGCATAGCTAAATTGTTGATGCTCTACACATATGTATGTGCACGGAACGACCTCGGACTATTTCTCATTAAATCAGATCGTCGGAAAGTTGGTTGCATTTTTGGATTATGAAAGACACAAACCAAATCCAGTAAAAAAAGGTTGCATTCCCATAAACTCTAAATAAAAGTGGTGTTTAAGGAGAGTTTAGCGAAATTTTTTGTATGGTAAACTCCGAGTTTAAGTGTAGAGTTTAGCGTTAAACTCCAAAATGGCCAGTAAACTCCAGTTTTTGACTCAATGAGAACGTAATATAATGGACTTTAAATAATATTCACCAGGGAAACGAATTTTACTACCCCTCAGCGAATCAACGCTTCGTTTTGTATTTAAACGTCGCCGATTCAAAATTATTGTAACGTTCGCAATAACAATAAATAAGTCTCAACGTGAGACCCTAGCATGGCCAGCTATGTCTCAAGGTGAGACCCTAGCATGGCCAGCGATGTAGTATACGTATTGATATTGAGTATGATCTTGCTAAAATACCAAAGTTAGAGCTAACTACCAATGCATGTGGTCTTTAGAATAAAGAAATATGCAGATTTTTTAGACTACGGAACACCCCGATCTTCGGGGATTGTTACTAGTCACTTCTATTTCATAAAACTGCTCTAAAGCTAGAGCGAATTATGCATGTTTCATATTGATTTCTGGTTGCACGGACCAAACCCATTGAGATTGGGTTTTTATTCGCCTGCCGAACATTTTTGTTGATCAGTGTTATTTGTCGAATAACGTGTTTGTAACCTAATTTTTTTGTAATTAAATGCTTATGCGTCAATCAGTGGCAACAAATTAAATACTTTCCCCATAACAAGTGTACGCCCAATATGTGTATGTATTTGAATATGCGGATAATTGCGGATGTTTGTATTTTATTTGTAATATGTATTAAATAATAATTTGCCAGAGTAAATTATTACCTACAAGCTATGCTTTTTTGTTTGTGAAAAATTGTGGCTTAAAGCTTTGTTGATTATTTTTCTTTTTTGGCTCTGTAACTGCCTTAGCGATTTGGGCCGAGTCCAAAACAGCTCGATAGTCGTTTCCCATCTGTGCCATTTGATGCCAATTGGAAATGCCAAGTGAAGCGAAGCCATTCTCCACCTGGTTTTCGCAACGGAGAATAGGCCTAGGTATTCCTCTGTTACCGGCATCGCGACCCGCGTTGAATACTTTCAGAACTGGAGCGTTTCTGTCCATTTGTACGTCATGACTAAGCCATCGTAGCCGCTGTATTTCAATTCGCTGCTGTGGTGGAAACACCAACAACGAAAATGAGGAAAAGCAAAATCTTAATATTTTGAAGTGACTAGAATGCACTTTAATTCCAAGAATACATACATACTAGGGCGGGTCGATTTGTAGAGGCCCAAACAAAAATTAACAGAGGCACATCGCGGTTATGATTATTTGGATCATTGGCTCGCAATTGATTTTAGAGCTATGGTTTCTTGGGCAAAAGCAAAAATGCTTGAAATGACCCAAATAACCGTAGTCGCGATGTGCTTTTGAAGCAAAAAATTTGACCCGCCCTAATACATACATACGATTTTTCGAATTTGGAGCAGTCAAAGAATGTAGCATGTTGCTTTTACGAATGTCGACTTAGAAACTTCATGGTGATCGATATTGAAAAGAATTGTTCACTGGCATTGTGCACTGACCCCTTGTGAACAAAAAATAAATAAAAAAATTTAAAAACTGGTCCAGTTATTCTAATGCCTTGTCACTACCAATGAGCTTCTTTGAAATTTTACTGGCATTAAATAACCCACCTTACCAAGTCTACGAAGAGCTTATACCCCAAAGGGTGTTGGGGAAACAATCCACTTCAGTACAGATTGTTACCTAAGCATCTAGTTAATATTTCCGGTGGGCTATAATAGCGAAATTATGCCAATTGATCAAACAACAAGTCAACCCTTAGCAGTGAAAGATTTCTATTGTAAAAATTACTAGATACATATTTTATTTATGTTTGTACAACCTATACAACATAACAACCACATATAACTAATATAACGTTGGCAACAATTGACGATTTGTCGATAAACAAAGTCTGGAAAATTTGCGAATATTTCTATAGTTACCAAAAAATGTATAAAAAAAAAACAACTAATATTCAACAGCTTGCAATAAGCGAGTAAAACAATAAGAATTCAAAATATTTTTTATGAGAAAATAACACGACAGTTTGTATGCCTCAATACACACATAAGAAATATGTATGCATGTATTTGCCTTTATGGACAATATCGCTTATCTTCTAAGCGATTTTGGCCGAGTTCAAGAAAGAACGCCAGTTATTTCTCTTCTGTGCCAACTGATGCCAATTGGAAATGGCGAGTGAAGCCAAGTCCTTCTCTTCTTGGTGTTCCATCGCAGTGGGGGTCGGCTTCCCTCTTTCTCTACTATCAACCCATCATTCCATCGTTTCATCGTCTGCGGTACTCAGTGATATCTGATACTAATTTTGTGCACATAATTTAAAAAATTAGTATACATATTCACATGTATTCAGGTTTACAGACGGTTTTGCGGTCGCTGAATTTGAATATGAAGCCAAAATAAAAAACAAAAAATCTTAAACACAATAATTGTGTTAAAAATAATAGTAAGAATGGTTTATGTTTATATTAATTATGAGTTAATGGGGTCGCTAAATTCGAAATTTAACCAAAGAGAGAATGGCCGTTCCAATATGGCGCCTGAAATTAAAGAAAATATGCTGAATTTGGAATATATTTATTATTATTAAATAAAAATGCTATTAAATTATAACATAATCATGTTTGTGTGGATCTTACACGAAATTGGTTGAAAAAAGTTAACTTAAAAAAAATTATCTTACGAAAAACTTTCAATATTATATGGTACCAAATCGCGATTTAAACAAAAGTTCGAACACGGTCGGATTCAATGTTTAGTATTATAGTTTAAAATACAATTATCTTGAAATAAACATAAATCTTTTATTGGTGAAACCTGGAGAAAATGACTTATGATATCTTCTTTAAACTCTTTTTATTAAAGAATTCACTTGAATATTTCATTAAATACCAATCAGTTGATCACACTAAAAAATTTTAAAATTCAACTTTATATAGAACTGACCTGTGGAAGTAAAACCCATTTCACAAAATTAAAATCGATCACCCCTATGGCTTTTGGCGTTCTTTTAAACGTTAGCATTACATTTTTACTTTTCAAAGCGCTGCGTCAACCAACACTTTCACACTGATCATGCTAGCTGATTAGCTAGCCCAAGAGAATAAAACCTCAAAATACTTTATTTTTGATTAATGGGCACGAATTGGTGACCAAATATCAATATTGAGCAGAGCTCTCTGAGAGCAGATGTGAGAGTCGAGTAGCGAATGCATTGGCCGTCTGTTGTGATTGCATCTTTTCGACGTAGAGCTTTCCTTGAATTTTTGGGAACACATTGTTTTCTACACAGGGGCGGGTGTCTATATCGGCTGCCACAAGATACTGGTCCGAGTCGATGTTTGGCCCTCGGAGTGTACGTAAGTATAAAACACTGGAAGCGTGCCTTCCGTCTATCACAACATAATCGTTTTGGTCTCCCGTTTTTCGAGATTAATGGATATTTTTATGCTTGAACCTAGTACTAATCATACTACCATGTTTCGGACTCCGGCGAAGTCGATAAGCCTCAGTTCGTTATCGGACGTTTCGTACTGCAGGCTGAATTTTCCCATGTTTGCGTCAAATATTAATATAAGGAACGGAAAGGACCCTTTCCTTGTCCACCTTGGCATTGAGGGCAGCGCTCTTAGAAGAGATCCTTGGATGCTTTATCGATGAGCGAGCTGGTGAAGAATCTCGCTTTGATGCGGATTGTGGCTGTGCGCTCGTCCCCCGGGGGGAACGACGGTACTCCTCGACGGAGTGGCTCTGCCGCCACAAATTCAACACCAAATTTGCGCTCCGATAGATGTCAGCGGTAGTAGATGTCACAAGGCCCCAGATGTTTCATACCTTGTCCCGTCCAAAACAATTTTTGTCCTTACGAGGACATCAAATAGCCGGGCAGAGCCACCTTCCAGATATTCCTGGTGCATGCCTTCAAATCATAGTTCTTTAACGTATGCCGTGGTCGTTATCAAAAGGGGGGCTCATCCGAGGCTTTATTTTTTTCACTGGAACGGATTTTTTTGGGGAGATGGGAAATGTTGCCCTTACCATGAAGTTGTACTTTGAAAAATGTTTGCTTTCTTTGTTTTTTTTTAAATACTCTTAGTAATAAAAGAAAAATTTTGTAACATCTAAATATTTATATGTATATGTATATGTACTAGAATGATGAACTAATTTATTATTGCTTTTTGAATATCAAAAACAAGAAAAACTTGTTTTCTGACTACTCGGTGAATTAAATCTGTTTTGCACAATTTATTTCCTGTTATAAAAATATGTATATACCAAAAATATTTTCGCAGACGATGACTTAGGCGACGATTATCCGGAGATGCGTGAAGAAGTACACCTTGAGGATTTCTTTTGGACCGGTTCTGGCGATGGCCCGCCCGATTATCTGAAGAAGGTGCATACTGGCATTAGCAAGGGAAAAGATGTGATTGTTAAAACAGAGACTGTAGTAGCAACGGTTTACGTCGATGGTAATAATGTAAGTCACGAGCACATATTTACATACACGACTTGTTTATACTTTGAATTCAATTTGCTCTCCTTCTGCCCTCCACAGGAAATTGATATACCGATTTGTTTGGATTGCCCGCCAGATGATGGTGGTGGCACTTGGGGTACGGGCGCTCTACCCCCACTCAACTATTCAGCAACAGATCGTAGATATTGGTTATTAACAGTAATGTCTGGTTTTTATACGCAGAAAGATAATCCATCGTTGGAGGAAAAGTTGGCGCGTTTATATCGATTGGCGTTTACGAGGTAGTAACTAAGTGCAGAAATTGCAAATTATTTGTTTCTCAATTATTATTTTTTATTTGGTTAATATTCTGTGCATTCAAACCTTATATTATGAAAAATATTACCATTAAGTATTTTATGAAAATTAAGAAAAAAATTGGCGTTTATATAACACTTAAACATTTTTGATACTATTTTTTTTTATAAACGTTATAACTTTTCGTGTTCATCCGATTTAAGTTTTTAATATCATAAATTAATCACTAAAAATTTAATTACTTTTGAAAACCATAAAAAAATAGAAGTCGCCATTTTGAAAATATGGGATCTTCAATTCCTTATTATTTTTCTACTATTTTGTTTTAAGTCTAAATTTCCTGGGCTTGCTTATTCTCCATTTGAGTTAAATTATTTTTAATCTCCTCAATAAGATCGAGTCCTTTTCGTTATCTCAGCTGAAATGCAAGTGAAGTTAGAGTTAATAAAAACCAAACCTGTTATTGTTTGTATAAATTTCTTTAGTTCAACGAATAACATTGGCATCTTCATCGCTGGAAATTGGAAAATAGTCAATAATTTAAGGATAATCGTTATCTTTTAGAAGTTTGGGGCGTGGTGCGCAGATCTCAAGCTCAAGAAAGTTTCGGCTGTTATGATCCCAGTCGGGAAAGTAGTAATGCATTACATGCGTGATAAATAATATAATGTATATTATAATAATAATAATATTACTGCTAACTATGTAATCAGCATTCTAATGTATTCAAAAAGTTCCAAAAATTTCATATTAAAACACATTCATTTCTCGATACTAGATAATGCAAAATTGAATACCCCACTTTTCTTAGGACATCGCCCTGGGAAAAAAATGCATTTTGGAATATAAAAAGGGTTGCTTTACTGATTATTTTTTCGATTGCGATGCACAATTCATTTTCCCACTGGGATGAGTTACCTTAGCCGCACTTAGGGTTTCTTACTTATCACCTCAAAGGATTTGGTCCTTTACGCTGTGTGCGACTACGTCTAAATTGTTACGTAAATAGAGAAAATCCTAAATAACTGGAAATTGTCGATAATGCAGTGAATAGGAACAATTTAGATTTTATTCGAGTATTCTTTTCAACCTAAATTAAACTGTAAAATATATTTGGGCGAGCGATTAAGCGAACAATAATTTTTTTTTAGAAGTTTTAATTAATTTTTATCACAAAATATAAAATTTTCAGAAAAACGTCAGTATGCCTTAGATTTTGGATTAGGGCCCTTTGAGCTAGAAAAAAAGAATAAGTGATCGTGGTTCGCCCCTTATTCCTGATTTTCATGGCATAAATTCTTTTTTTTTTTTGCTGCAAATTGAAAGGAGAGGTGCTACGGGTGCTAGGGGGGTGGTAAAAGTGGAATTTTAGATATGTTCAAAAGCGTAATTTTCGAAAATTATTGAACCGATTTTGAAAAGGTGGATATGGTTGGAAATGCAATTTTTTTTTGCAATTAATTTGCACATTTTTTTTATACCGCCATAATTAATGGAAGAGGGCGGACAATGTCCACTTTTTATTTATTTATTTTTTCAAGCTGAACGGGCCCGATTCTTTACTTATGCCCAAACAATTTAGGTTATCAAACGAACTCGCACAGCTTTAGCTGTTGATTACCTAAATTTTGCAAGGGCTGGAAATTTTCAGTGGGCTAGGTACTAAAATTTAGGTCAACTCGCACACAGCGTTAAAGCTTCACTTTAATCTCATTGCCATACTTATCTAAGTATGGCTTAAAATCAAGTGCGTATTATAAGTACGAACGTTTAACCGCTTTTACTTAAGGAAATATTGCAGAATCCGAATAGTCTCTCAATAAATTAAGTTGATTTTTTGTGAGGAAAAGAACCGTACTTCATTGCAGACCCGTTAAACATAAAAAAAAACTTTAGGGTTTATATCGCCATCACCAAATGCAGGGGATCTTTGATAAAACTTAAGTATAATACGAGCACTATACTTATTCTGGTTTTCCGATATTTTCCAATCTCAGGCAACAGTCAAAGCACTTGGGTATCAATGGTGCGCAACAAATCGCCGGAATAGCAGTATCAGCGGGTGGCAGGAACAGGCGTGGTCATCAGAAAACCGGCGCGCCACCATTTGAGTCCACAACGCTAAAAGGTATGTAACGAGTTATTAATATTAATTAATTTTGACACTAAGTGCACCACATACACACTACTTTCATCAATTACAAACAGAACTCGACGGTGACGCCGAGATGCTCGACATGGCTGGCGGCGATGTGCCAGCTAATCCGCGATCCTTACAACCAAAACGGAATGTCAACAGAAACACTGAGTGGGAAACGTCTTCTGAAGAAAACGGTGATTCTTTCTCTAGCACAAGCACAACTGAAACTTATGATTACTCTATGTCAACTATTTTCGAAATAAATGGTACACACGAAGAAAGCGTCAGTATACCACCCATACCCTACATGACTATAGTGCCATGGGAGCTGATACAGCAGGATGCGAGATCAGAAAAACTTCAGGCCACGGCAGCGCTTTTGGATGCACAGGCTTCATTGGTACCGCTGCAACCACAAAACCCTTTGCTGCGTATCGCGCAAGTACGTGTGGTCATCCATAATATCACACGCTTGACAGAGCAGGAACTACGGCGGGGCCTACAGAGTGTGGGAGGATACGATGAGGATGTCAATGAGAAAATGTGAGTGTTTGAGGCAGAGTAGAATTTGCAGAGTCAATTGTGTTTTTCGCTACTCATTTTTTGCAGCGATCAACGTCCCATCGCAAATCAAACCGAGCTTATCTATTCCGTATTCGTTAATGGTCGTCCAGTGTTAGCTGTAACGGCGGCTAACGACATGAAGTTGGTGTCCGAGACAGAGGCGGCTAATATCATTGGGCAGGAGGTCTATATGAAAGCTGAACGTAAGCGAGGCATAGTAAATATTTTAGTTCAATGGAAGACCGAACTTAACTATTTTACCGTTTAATGGTCCACAGCATATCTGCGCGAGCCGCAGGCCACACCTTTAGCACCGGCCATACGCAGCGGTCAAGCGGGTTTCATAGATTCCATACAAAATAACACAGCTCTGGTTGTGGTTACTTCGGTAGCGATTTTATTGTTGCTGCTGCTTCTAGTAGCTCTTTTACTTATGGGTCGTTCGCGTGTGCGCGAGAAACATAGATTGGAGGAACAAAGGTACTTTTAATATCTCTATTCTCTTTTAATTTTTAATTTTCTAATTGCATACATTTTACACGCACAGGACAACAAGTCGCAATGAGCTACTCGCCGAACTGCAATCAGGGCGCGGCGCTTCCACTGAAACTGGTTTGGACACAGGCCGCTCAACCGCACACTCACGTGACGTTGGCGTGCAGAACTTCTCCTTCGAACACGACGGCAACCGGCATACGCGTGAGCCACGTATCAACTTCCCCAGCCCGCCAAGAGAACGTGAATATCGTCGTGATTCGCTTACCTCCTCGGAAAATACATCGGACTCTTCAGTCTACTGCCCCATTAATCCACCAGCACCAGATGTTCAACGCATGCTTGATGAAAAGGCTGCAACTCTATTCGAAAAACAACGTCGCAGGCATGCACACCAGCACGAGTACGATCAAGCAGAAGGTCGCGAGAACGCTGTTTACACTACTGTAATTACAGAAAAGAAACATGATAAGACACGTCGCAAGACGAAACGACGATATCTCTCAGAAAACCGTGTGGGTTCTTTAGAGACCAGCCCACGCACACACCATGCAGCCCAATCTTCAGGCGATGAAGTTGTCAGCGGCTCGCTGGACGACGATCAATTAAGCCCCGCATACGCAAATTTCGAAAAGAATGAATCATTCAATCCGCACAACAACTATCATCGCAACAAATTGTTGCACCAAAAGAGCATGTATGGCGATAAGGATGACGGCGAACAGCTACAGCCAACAGAAGCTATAAATAAAGAGATCATACGCGCACTTCAGCCGACAGAAAGATCTTCTGATACCGGCAGCATTGGTTCGTTCTTATCGATGGCTTCTGTGAAAGCATTCCCGAAAAGTTCACTGCCACAGCCATTGAATCGAGTCTTAGACCCGGTCTTCGTTACATACTACGATAATGTTGAAGATCCCACTGCGAAGAAACAGTCCTCTAGCGCTCGTCCGTTGCCAAAACAGCAGAGCAGGCACGACACTTTAGACGCCACAACAATAGCAACCATAGAAAATTTCACCACACCGAAAGCGCCATCGTCGCACGCGCATTTAGGCGCTTCGCAGAGTGATAATCCCGATCCGGGCGTTGTCGGGCCCATAGTTTGGGAAAGGCATAAGAAACGTTTGAATGAGACATTAGATGCTGATGCTGATGCGGGTAATGATGTTGGGGATAACCACAAAGAAGGGGAAAGGGAACGTTATTGATTATTGAGTGCTCGTAGAAATTATTGTAGCCAAGCGTAGACTAGAGACTTCCACCACCGTAGCTAATGAGATACAAATGTAGACAAAAATTTTATATATTGATTGATTGCATGATTGATTGATTGCTCGAATACTAAACGTATGCGCATAAACAGACAGCCAAACAGCCAAACAGCTCAACACTTGACACTCCCAAGCTAAATGCAAAATCTTCCCTATTCTACATTCTTCCTCTTCTTGTCTTCTTCTATTTCATACCATTCCAATAGACGATATGATAAAGAGATTTGACGAAAGGTACGGCAATAATCCGGGAGCGATAAGAAATCATTATGAGGATTTGCTTGAAAGCGCCATGCAAATGTATTCCAGTCAAGATGACTTGCCGATGCCGTTGCCGACTCGCGACTTCAGCCACAAGCGTAAGCCAACCAAGTGGGAGAATCGCGGTTCGTCGGCAGGAGTGACAAGGTTAGTATAGCTTTTTTCTCACTTCGGTTGTACATAAGTACATTTTTTTTGACGATTCAATTTCTTATCTTAGTCTCGCTGCACGCCTACATAAGGGCGAGGCCCGCCCGGCTACTGCGCAGCCAGCGAAAACCAGCAAATCTAATCAGTCCACTCAACCACCTTCGCCTGCTAGCGGCGCTTGGGGTGGCAGTATTTACGGTTCACATTCACCACTCACCCGTCCATTTAGCGCTGGACCCATTCAACGCTCGGAAACGTTTCAGGTAGTTGGTCCACCCAGATCGGCGTCAAATCGCTCGGATTTGTCAGCGGAGCCTCTTATTGAGGCTATTAAGAGCGAATTGCGTAGATATAAGGATGAGCATAATTAAAGTGTTCATATATAGGATTAATGAAAAATAGATACATATCGACTTTTGTGTAATAAATAAGCAAACACGCTGCACAAATTTACTTCAAAATAGCACAAAATATAAATAAGTATCTACTTTTATTTTAAAATTTCGAGTGTACAATAAAATATATTGTTTAGGATTTAAATATAACCGATTTTATGTAGTTTTTCAGAAGAGAGTTAGCTTTCTGCAAATAAATCAATAGATACAAATCTAACGGGGGATTTGTATTTATTGATTTTTAAGTTGTAGCTAATTCTGTGCTTGTGAAGATGAAAGAAAGCGCCCAGAGGCGAAGTTATACCGGTAGAGCTGTTCAAAGCCAGCAGCGAACAATCAACAGGCTGAACTTCTTAAGCGCAATTAGAATCGTAGGATGCTTTGCCCTATCCATAAAAAAGGTGATCCTGCTGTTTGCGTTAATTACTGCGCAATAAGCCTTCTCAGCATTGCTTATAAATTCTACTCGAGGGTACTGTGTGAAAGACTGAAGCACTTCATAAACCGAAGTTTCCAACCTGTCAGTATGGTTTCAGGCCGTTCGTGCTGTAGCGAAAGTTGTGTAACTTAAGAGATATTGTTTGACTACCTCCTACATGCTAGCTAAAACCGGGTACACCTACTAATGGAAATCACTTTACATCACCTACCCTCGCTCAGTCACCTAAATATAGAATTAAACCTTGGAGGAACATTTAAAAATCTTGCCAGACGGATAATACTTTTCTGCATTGAAAGAAAATACATACCAAAGGACTAGAAAATGTTTAGCGCTTGCCAAAAAGTGTATCGTGGCAGGTTTAAGGTCAGGTCTTCACATTTTTGGTAGAACTAAAGACTAACAAATGGCATACACGATATCTTATGGGTCAGCCAAGTTAGCCTAACTTAACCTTCGTTCAACATTGAGGAAGTTTATCGAGTAAGACTTTCTTCCAGGGATGCTTGGAAATGGTCCAGGGTAAACCAAAAGGTCTCTACTGTTGTCTACAGTTATGGGTTTAAATGAACACTGCGCTGGTTGCGACTACCTGACTTTGTTGCCAGCATAGTCCAAGTGAATGTTTCAATATATTTAAATGTAAGTGACATAGAAGGCCTACCCCTCCGTTGAATGGCTGAGACAAGATGGAGCAGTACTTCCAACTAAAAAAATGTGACAAATCAAAAGACAACAACTCCTGAATAGTAAAACTTTGATAGCCATAAACGTGCGGCTTTTTGCCATTACCTCTGCAAACATCCATCTTATCGAATCGAAGTTTTTGGAATTTGTAAATATATCGAGGTATCGAAGTTTCAATGTTATATTAGTGTATAGCATTATCACTGCTTATCGAATTTTATCGTGTTACCAGAGTGAAACGTGTTACTGAAATTTGTCGATATCTTTCGCTATATGGAGCTATTAAAATTAACTGAGTTGTGGAAATTAGAGAGGTATCCACAGTTTATCGATTTATATCGAGATGTATAAATGTATTAATTTTTTAGTTATCGAGTTAAGCTTGGAATCAAGCTCTCAAGAAAAATCACAAAATGTTTTTATTGCATTATTTCTGCTGCTTGAAAAAGCAACTGCTTTTGCTGTAAATTTTCTTGAAGAAATAAATATACGGGCATTATTTCTTGAGGACTGCAAAATGATTTAACAAATTTTGATAGAAGAAAATTTCTTTTCCATTTCTTGTGCGTCATTTTAAATGCATTTTTCGTTACGACGACGTATACTAATAAGACGAATACGAATTTGAAGCCGAATATGATTACTGCAGTTAAAAAAAATACGTCGACAACTACGAAGATGAATACCGAGATGTAAACGAAGACTCATGGGAGGACGAATACGGGGACGAAGTTGAATAGGGACCTAAAATGAATACGAAGGTGAATAAAAATATAAAGACCATGAAGTACACAAATACAAATACTAAGTCGAACATTAACACGAAAAGGAATACAAAGAGGAATATGAAGGAAGAAGAGGACGAATACGAACACGAATACGAAGAACATTAAAAAGAAGAATTTGCGTACGACGGCGAATATGAATACGAATTCGAAAAATAATATGAAGGCAAAAGCCGAGATGAATATGAATACGAATACGAACACAAATTCAAAAGATAAAAAGAAGACGAGTAAGAATACGAATATGATAGCGAAGACGAAGTGTAAGTTTAATATTAAGCTTAATAGCAAGTTTTACTTCTGTAGTGTGACCCAGGCGTAATCATTTTTTTGGATGAATGTGCAATACTTCACATTCACAGTGAAGAAAATGCATTCAATAAATTTTGCACCGTTGTGCGTGTTTGTTTTTTTATTAGTTGCAGTAAAATTCAATATACGTATATTTTAATTTATCATGTCAAAAAGTAACAATTACAATAACACTGATTTACATTATTTAAAAATATAATTTCGTTACACTTTGTGCCATCTTCTCGCCAATGCAAGGCAAAATACTGTTTTGTGAGCACATATTATGAATGTATGTGTGTACAAATGTGTAAATATCCGGCATGTTTTGCAAATCGTACGATTCTAAATCGATGCAATTTACAAAACATTTTTTGGTGATTTCTAAACGGTGAATGTGACGTAATTGATGTGTTTGTAGCAGTTTCCATTTAAAATATTTATTACTTTCATAACGTATGTATGTACATTGAAAAATATTTAGCAAATCGCACCGATTTCAAATTTAGCGATGTGCAGAACAGGCCTGTATAGTCAAGATTTTTTGCTTTTTTGTTGTGTGCATATTAATTTAATTTGTTTTTTGTATAATTCTTATTAGGCATTTGCGTACATATGTACATATATTAAATATAATAATTTCTGCTTTGAAACACATTCGATTTTCGATTTAAATTTATTTATTTGTATTTTTTTTTTCTTTTCTAATATTTTCTTTATCAAGCTTATCTTGACGAAGCCGTAGTTGAAGTTGCAGTCGTTGTTGCCACTATGTATTTGTATTCATAGCCATTGCAAAAGTGTGCCATTTTGTTTTAGTAATTGTTGTTGTTGTTGTATATACATACATATACATACATAAATATGCATGTAGTTGTGTTAATTTTCAAAGGACTTTCATTGTTATGCATTTCTCGCGTGTGTGTGCTTTCGTGGGTGTGTGTGTGCGTCAGCAGTTGAAAATACAGGTGTAGCGGAGAGGGATGCTTGTGCGTACATATGTATACACATATACATACATATATATTTAATTTTGTATTTTCGTATCAGTTTTACATAGTACCTAAATCTGCTTGTCGTCGTTGCCTTTGCATAACAATGAAAGCCCTCACCAGCCCATTTGAAGAAAAAGTAACGAAAACAAAAGCAACACTAATGCAATTGGCATGAACTTGTAATCTTGTTTTTGTAGTTTAAATATTTATTTTTAGTTAGGTACGTTGAACACTCAAAACGTATACATATACACCGGTAAATCCGAATTGGTTTTTTTTGTACAACAAATAAATAAATAGTGGAAGAAATTGAGGGCACATATTTTGCAAAATCAACAAATTCGAAAACTGTTATCTTAATATTTTTTTTTTATTTGATTACTTTTAGTTCAAACGCTTTTTACGCATCCTGTACATTTTCCTATCGCAAACGTTTTCTAGCTAAAATATTTTGTATTTTAATTATTAATAAAATTCTTGTGCCACTTTTCGTCCGTTAAGTTTTTAATAGATTTTTTTATTCTTACCTAAAAAAACTAATTTTATTTTATCTTAAATACCATATAATTTTACAGTTTGCATTGTTCCAGTAGATACATAAAATTCGTTTATCCAAGTGGGTTCCGCAGAGTGTCGTCATCGTCATTAGTGTTGTTCTTTTTGTTGCTATCCTTTAGCCTAATAAAGCTCTTTCTGGCCACTGGCCTTTGAATTGTGTTGTTGTTGTTGCTGTTTTACTTGTGCATCAACGCTACGCTTACCCAAACGTGGGCCGAACCATAGGCCTGAAGTAGCGCTGGGACCAGTGCCCTTGTTCAGGGCTTGCTGCAATGCCATAATACGCGCCCATTTTCTTAACTCCGCATCGGTGCGTCCCACCCGTGGGAAGGCAATCAAGCTGGCGCGTTTTATTTCACTTTTCGGATATTCAACTGTTGAACAGAAATAAAAAAAAAGTCAAATCAATTAGAAATTTAGCAATAACTCAAACAAAAAACAACCACACACGCAGGCTCACACTGCCGTACTCATTAATTTGCATTAGCAACTATATATATTTGTATGTACATATATGTATAAGTATGTATGTATGTATTTACCTTCATAGTCTTCCAACGAGGCGGGATACATGCCGTCGCTGAGCGCTGAGATGTCAGCTTCATGCAAATTATTGACCAGGTTTGGATCGCTGCGCCCGACGCGGGGGAAGGCTATGAGTCCGGATGGTCCACCAGCGGTGCGACGGTTTTTTTTGATCCAATTCTGTAATCGAGAACAGATACATACTTTCAAACATGTACACATACATACATACATAGATATGTGTGGCTTTCTTAACTACGCATTATAGACATTGTTGTTGTATTTAAATGTTAAATAAATGAAATTCAAAAATTTCCGGGAATACTTTGCAACGAGTTCGAATTTGATTTTAAAGATAAATAAACAAATGCGTTCAAATTATTTGCATTTTATTCAACTTTGTATGCTTGTGTGTAAGTTCATAAAAACACAGTAGATATTTTGGTTATGCAAATATATTAGCAGAAGCGGTGCGTATTCATTTCAGGTGGCGTACTGGGAGTTTTTAAAACATTGCCATCAATCGGCTGGAAATTAATTGTCAGCGTTAGATGTAGAGATGGGAAGAATTTCTCTCTTCTCTAGCATGCTGTGTCTGTCATGGTTACCAAAAGGCGAATGCTTGAAATATTCATTGCATTGTTTCAAATCAGTGATTACCAAAGTGGTGCAATTGAACTCTCAGGTGTACACGGGAGACTCTACGGACGTCTACGTTGGCCTAAAAAAATGGGGTTTCACAAGCGGTAAATGGGGGTCCACCAACTTTTATCTGGTTTCGATAGTACAAAAAAAAAATAAAAAAATTTGGCTAGGCTTTACCTATCTATGCAGGCCCAAAAAATTAAGGCGAACAAAAAAAAAAATTCCAAATTTTTCGCTGATTTTTGCAAGGCTGTAATCGGTGAAAAATTGTCGTGTTGAAAATTTACAAAAGCTTTGAAGCTCTAAAATTCTTATTTTCACATTTATAATTTTCAGACTTCGTGGCTAAACATTTTTAGGCGCTAAGGTTCCAGTGCAATACTTTGCAAGTTGTTTATTTATTTTTTGGTCCACGGACGTAAAAAAATGTTTTCAGTGAGCCGCCATATAGATCAGATAGCCGGTTTATTTGGCTTTAATTTACTTTTTTTAGATCGCCCTTAATTTTTTTTTAGTAATGTATTTTAAGAGAGTGTTCGCCAGAATTCCTTGTGGAGGAATAAAATTTCCATTGTGCTCCTCACTAAAACTCAATTCATGTGAAATCAATTTTGATTTCCTCTTTTGTGAGCTAAAAAAAGAAAGTGTTCTTCAACTAAATTTTTCTCTAATATGTATAGCTGAAAAAATCGGAAAATATGACTATTACGATACCTTTCGGACGCCCTATTACATGTTTTTGGACAGAAAAAAGTCTACGATATTAAACAATACGAAATAAGAGTGCCTTATTAATACCCCAAATATGTGTACATATGCACATTAGAGTGGTCCAGAAGAGAGGAAGCCCAACTACATATAAAGCCATGAGGGCCAGAGTAGCCTAACTGATATTTAAAAAAAGTAATCGAAACGGCAACAGCCCAAGACACGCCCTTTTAATATTCTTTTACTAAAAAAGTAGCATCACGTAAAAGACTGCATATACTTTTTATAGGTCCTTCATTCTCATATTACTGAAAAATAAAATTTTTGCAGTTTGCAGGGTATTCAATCCAATGCTTGCTAATTTTTTTGTCTACCCAGTTGCCTTCTTGTGTGTCTTTTCTTGTGTGTCTTTTTTGGCCTGCCAACAAAATCCCTCCGGCCATGGATTCTTATTCTTTATGCCCCCAGCCCAGTAGTATCGTATTCTTGGTTATAACATCCGGTTGTTCAATGTCTGGTTAACACAAATCAGAGGTAGAAGCTCCCGTTAAAACAACGACTGCTTTGTCAATCACATGTTACATGCATTATGTCGAAAACGTCGATAATGATGTTTAATTGGGAGGTAGTGATAACCAGACATTGTACAACCGGCCCTAAGAGAGTTTAGTATGCCGCAGCAATCATATACCATTTTTGATGCTATTAAATATGTAACACATGAGTGCTAGTAAGACTGTCTGATGTCTTGCAGATGTATTCCAAAGATACATATGTATGCTTCATCTAAGGCAGTGATTCCCCAGGGGTCCACGGGAGACACGACGCGTGTCGTTGGCGTGAAAAAAAAATATGGGGGTGAACGAGTTGTAAGTGAGGGTCCACTAAAATTAATTAAAATTTTTTGAGTCGTCTATAGTGGTCTTGACGCACTTTGCACTTACCGTCACTTTGTGTCTTCATACGTGTGGACGCCTTAAAACCCATCTGCAGACTAAAAAGAAATGGATGTTTAAATAATACTGCGTGCGGGCGAGTTGGACATTGCCGGTGGCAGAGAGTCGATCCTTCAGTGTTTATTCAGTGCCATAGGATAGTACGCCACCATTACCTTTGTTGAAGAGATTCTTATAATGTTGAGTCCCCTGAGGCTGAATGCTGGTTTAATTCCAGCACTGAGCCAGGACTCACACATTACTGATGGCTCCAAAACTGACTCTGGGTCAGGATCTAGGGACTTTTTCGAAGTTAAGAGTAATAAGCTTTACTTTTCTCTTGGCGAATATGCTTCGGTCTCCCAGGTTGAGCTATATGAAATCCTCAAAGCCATGGACTACGTGGTGGAAAAGAGGTGGATGAGGGCAGGGAGTTAACGTGTCTGCAGGGATAGCCAAGCTGCACTTAAGGCATTGGCCAGCCCTCTAAGTAAGTACTGGTTCGGAAATGCAAGTGTCTATAAAATTAGGTCGGTAAACATGAAGAGCTTGCTTTACTCTGGGTGACAGGTTACTCGGGAGTACTTGGTTATGAGACAACTGACCATTTGGCAACAGTTGGATTAGACCAGGCATTCCTCGATCCGCAACGAGCTACAGCACTCCCTACCTTGGACATCGAAGCCACCATCAGAAAATGGTTGAATACTTCGCTCAGCCATCTGACTGGGAGCCATCGTGGGGATGCAGGTGGACAAAACTGAAGTTGCCTTCAATCTCAGAGGTCTATTTAGTTTTTTGCTCTCATTGATAGACGGGATTGCATACAACTTGTTCGACTGCTGACTGTTCACTTCATGTTGCGCAAACATCTGACTGCGATAGGCGTAAGTGACAACCCCATTTGCCCATCCTGCCTTGAAGGTGATGGGACGGTGGAACACTTTTTGTTTTGTGCTTCTTGCTGGCTTGGTTGTTTGTCATCGATTATTGAAGATTCGGTATTTTCTCTATTGTGAGCTTATGAATTTAAAGTTTGGCGAAAAAAGCTTTTAGGGTTTGTTGTTTCAAGTTTTTAAAACTCGCAGCGATAAAAATACGAATTACAAATACGCCGGATGCATAACTGAGATTTTAGATTTCTAATAAAAATTTTGTATTCACATTTTCTGTGACTAAATATTTTAGACTTATAGGCGGCATACACGGTGCGTCTGACTCAAGAGTCATTTGTGTACGGTTGACTCGTCTTCGACTACACACAGTTGAATCGTTCAGAGTCAGTCCAGGAGTCATGTCGGTGTAACTAATACATATTTATTTCCACAAATACATCCAAACCGACTAGCGAGTCAGACGCACTGAGTATGCTGCCTATTAGAAAATTTGTGAGTCTTTTATAAAACGATTCATTTCTAATCGTTTTTGCCTTTTGCATCAAAATATAATTTTTAGAAAAAGTGGTCTTAGCAGCATCTTATCACTCTTAGCAAGCGAAATGTATTTAGTTTTAAAAGGTGAAATAAAATAGTTTTTTAAATGTACCACATTTCACTGCTTTTGAACTGGCGGAGATCTAGTGAGAACTGGTACGTTTTTGGAGACAAGGATCTAGTTTCACTTGTTCGGGGTTTCCAAGCAGATTGTATACGAGCGCAAATTGAATAAAAACCTCTCTCTGTACATCATTGATTTACCGTCACAAAAATAGCCACTCCTGCTCTTCTCTAGTACATATGTATGTATATATGTCCGTCTGCTCTATCAGGTAGAGTTCCTTAAGCAGAGATGCCAACGCAAATGATTCTCACAGCTGGCACATTTCAAACAATTTACTAAGCTTAACCTGCTTTCGATGGGGAATCTATGCAAATTAAACACTAAATTTAAACAAATTACCAGCACGAACACTATGAACGAACAACAACAACTGCCAGAATGGCAAGGATATTCGCATCAGCATGGACACACAACACAAATTTAAAAAAAAAAGGAAAAATGGTGAAAATAGAGACATTGTAAGCTATTTGTAGCATAAGTAAGTAAGCAAGTAAGCAAGACAAAGCGTATTGCAAACATCAACCACGACCCAGTTCGTTTCCTTATTGGCCATCATAGCACATAGAAAAGAAAGTGGCGAAGGCTGCTGAGTTGCTTATACGCAGTGGTTAACCGATGGGGTGCGCTGTTGGTGATCACAGTGAAAATCAGTAGTTGTTGCCTTTAGCGTGATTAATGTTTTCTAATACCTACATATGTACATGTCTGAGTGTATGTAGATGGATATACATAAGTAGCATTTAGATGCTTTATTTGTTAATGATACATGTCAAATTTTGGTTATTCTCGGCTCCAATACTTGTTGAATTGTTATATTGCACGTTTAATAATACAGAGATGTAACTCAAAATTTACGTTTTTGGAGATTTCATTATGCAATTAATAAGCATGGTAAGTAGAATATGTTCAGTGTAATAGATAACCAAACTTTCCAAACATGGCGAATATACTATGTGTCTTTTCATGTGTCTTTTTGTATACCAATTGTATGAATTGGTAAAGCTTTGATAGCTGATGTGTACCGGGCAACTTGTATAGTATTCTGGAGCATAAAAGGACTCAATCTTCACGTTCCCGGCTTATGTGCTCTAATTAGAGGATACGGGTTTAATTTTTAAGTTTCAAGTGCATTTTTTTTTTTTAAAGCTCGAATAATTCAAGGAAAATTTTAATTGGAAAACAAAACTGTAAGTGAGAACCTATGTCCCAATTTAAAAAGCGACTTTTTATCATTTGTTTGCAAAAAAAAAAACAAACTCATTTGCATAACCTCAAAAATTTTCGTATTAATTTCAATTTACCATTTTATGTAAGCTTTTATAATTTTTTTAACTTTCGGCAAACAAAATAGAAAAGGAAATTGATAAATTAAGATGTAGTGAGTTGATTTTATTTTACTTAAACCGCCGTTTCCAGCCGTTTTAAAGAAAAACGGTTTTTTTCTGGGCTATCATGCTATTACAAAAGGAGAGTTGTTTGAAGTTAGGCAGATTGGATGTTCGAAAAGAGAAATGTCTTTTTCGGTTGTCAGCCATGTTGAAAAAAATTTAGTGCTGTTCATATTTTTGAAAGTTCCATGAAACTCTTTGAAGAAAAAACGCATCCTTTTAGCAATTATTTATCAAAGAAAGACGAAAATTATGGAAAACAATTTGGAAAGGATGCTAAAATATTTAGATTTGAATATTTAGTGTCGAACAGCAGCCGGATTCTAACTTTCGCCATCGCTAAAATGCAAAATACGACTTTTTTTAGCTTTCTCCAAAACTAGCGGTTCTGTTCTTTCATTCGCTAAAAATGGCTTAGCCTAAATTTTTTGGTGGTAAAAAGTCGTCCAATTATAGTGATAACTAGTGAAAATGGCAGCACCAATTTGGATTACATTTCATGTCCTGTAGCGTAGCTATGGCTATGTTACAAAGATACTTGCGCCGATTCGCAAAGACCATTGATGAGCAGCCTTCGCAAAAACGCAAATCCTTGAGAGAATTTACGGATTGAAATTTCGAAATTTTTTGCTCAACGTGAATAGAGCATTGAACAAACTTTTCACAAATTGGTTTCAAAAATATTCGTATTATTTTCTTTTAACCAGCGATTTTTGGTAAATGTATCACAAAGCAGCATCTGCATTCTGAATATAAATAATATCGGTGGAGAATTTGGGAATACTGAAACCTTAAGTGAAAATTTGGTATTTCATGAAGAGTAGCTGCTTTAGGAATCTGTCCTCAAGGCATTTCTGCGATACATGTAGTAAATATTTTTCTTTTTTTAATTTATGAATTTCGATAATACCATAATTAATCGCTGAAAGAAACCATTTATGTAAATGTGACCATACTTATTTTATTATGCTCATTTTAAGGGGAGAAGGTTGGTTATGGCAAGAAAATAACTTGTGTCAAAACCAAGCTAATTGGACAAAGTTGTTGAGTGTAGTACTCATGTAACATGTAAACACATGAACATAGAAAAAAGCGGAAAAGCCTGTTTTACAAAAGCCAAGTCATGTTTTCACATTTTATTTACTGCCTTTACACTTTTTGACGTTTGCCATCTTTTTACAATAAAATAATGGAATATTTTAGCTGATATTAATTTCACACAGAAAAATTGCGTGGGGCATGCCTTCTTTTCCATAAATGTCCTGCTTGTTGCCCAACGACCATTGACATTTCGGCTAAATTGAGAGTGAGAATTTCTCCCAATTATGTCAAATGAATTCGGATGTACACAAAGTTTGAATATGCATGCACCCTTTACCTACTTTTTTAAGGAAATGTGCTCTTAATATGGGCTTGTAAGAAGCGAGCAGCACGCCTGTGCCCTCCTGGCTGGTAAAGCCCTACTTCCTGCAAGTGCCTCTGCCTTCTATCTTCCCACTATGCCACCGTGCCCTGATACCTTAAGGTAGAGCTTCCTACAGGCCTTTTCTGCTTGTAACCGAAAATTTTTTAGCAAGAAAATTTTGTTACCGACAATTGTCGCCACTTCTTGCTACCGAAATTCTATTTACCCCGGTAGCGTTTTAATTTTTTCAGCAATTAAGTTTTGCTGAAATTCTGGTGTTGCACATTTCACGGGAAAATGCGAAAGGGGTTTACAAATTTAAAGTAAATTTATTTACCGGTAACAAAATTTACCGGTAGAAAAGTTCTATAAATAGCATGACCGAGAGGCAATTATTTAAGTTGGTATGATTGCCGTACCGAGTGCTATACCTACATAATAGTGCTGAGCGTTGCGCTTGCCAGCTTGTTTTTTCTGACTTTTATGTTTTGTTGGCCACTGTAGCCGAAGGCTCAGAGGTGCGTTCTACCAATCCAAATCACCTGGATTCGTGCCCTGGTCAAAGAAATGTCTCAAAAATATTGAGAATTTGTTTTTTCTTAACACCGCTCGCCCCACGGCAGGCAATGGCCAACCTCTAAGTGTATTTCCGTCATGAAAAACCTTCTCATAAAATCCATTGGCTGTTCGAAGGCGGCGTAAAGTAGTAGGTGCCTCTTTTTTTGAAACAAAATGAAGATTTTTTTTTTAAATATTGCACAAGGTTTCATATTTTTTTTTATAAAAAATAAAACTCTTACTCATGAAAGTATTTTATAACTACAAATATAAAAGTCAGTCGGAATTTTCCTGTAAAAATTTTTTTGCGACCGTGCTAGGCATTTTCTTCCATATAAAAAAAAAAAAAGAAATGGACAACACCGCGAGACAAAAAATTATTAAAAATCATTGCGATTTTCTAACGTCTTGAAATTTGCGCTTTGTCCTACTGAAATTTAATCGGCTACATAATTACAATTAAAAAAAAAAACTGAATAAAAAGTTGGAAATTTTTGGGTGTAATTCGTAAAGTTTGTTGAATTTTTTTTAATTTTTGTACAAAGTTTGAAATGTGGATTTGTGAGGTGCTGGTTATATAATGCGCTAGACTTTTATAAAAAAGTAATAAACATTAAACAAACGAAAGAAATGAAGCCACTTGTTAAAATGTCACCTAACTTAACCAGCTGACCACAAGAATATGTACCTCTTCAGGTTTTTTGATGAATCCGAATATCCGTCCTAAGTATTAGTTTAAAAACATCTGCTCTTTTGTACTGAAAACGTTTACGTTGACATTAAGAAACGGCCGCAAGATTT